CTTAGAGCCTCTTTCCACCTACGTGGACCACAACAACAACTGGACCGATAGTCAGTTTTCCTCACATTGTCAGTCAACCTTAGTGGTACAATTTGGAAACAGAAGAAAGCATATTTTAACTGCTGACAACTATTATGAAGCTTCCTCAACAGGCGACACTTCAAGTATAAGAAACAGCATCAGCATTATGTTCATTCTGTGCAAACTCATTGCAGTCAAGCTTGATTTTGATTATGTTTAATACATGTAACACACTTTTCAGCAGGGCTTGATAAAGAGTCAGCACAAGAGGAATGCTGGTTGAGTATTGTCCTCCAAGACAATGAACACAAAGCAGAATTTCAGCATCCCTCCAGCTACCAAAACCAGATTAACTAGTGATTAGAGCCATTAATACAAATACTAAATTAAGCGGTGGGATGTAGTTTGTCAAGGTATCTCTGATAGTTACTGAAGGGCTGAAAGCAGCTGTCAACTTGTTGTTCAAACGTGAACTTACATAAATAAGTGTTGTCAGGCTATTCATTCATAGCATTAAAAATGGTTAACATTTTGCCTATCTATAAATTTTCCTTTATATAAAAGGCAGTGCATACAAAAGCAGCTAATCAACCACTCTCCATTCTACCTACAGTTTCCTGTAGATTTTATACACTGGTGTTTCAATGAGCTGCACCAACAGGCTGAGCCTGAGCCAAAACTTCTAAAGTGAACAATCCTAAATTTGTGACAAACACTCTACCTGATGCTGAAGCTAATTTGGGGGGGACTTTTATGAGAGGAAACTTGACATATGCCGACCGACTAACATGCTGCTGATTGTATTCAAGTTCAGCTTCAGCCAAGGCTGTCCTGCAAAGATAGAGGAAAAAATTTGACAAACACTTTACTCTGTAAAAAATAACTTAAAATTCAAAATTACCTGCAAAAAAAAAAGTGACAAACCTTGTAGAAGGAGACCAAAATACAGGTTTGTAGTCTTGATAAATATACCCCTTAAGGCAAAGAGAAGTAAAATTAATACATTATCAAGATTTGGACAACACATGAAACTGACAAGAACGATAAAATACCTCATCAAACATTTTGTGGAAAACTTGTAACTGTTTAGCTTCATACTCTTTGTCAAACGTATAATAACAATTATCCCAATCGGCCATCACGCCCCATCGAATGAATGCTGCTCGTTGACGCTCAATTGTTCTTTCTGCAAATTCTCTGGCTAGAAGACAAAAGTGACATAAAACATTTTAAGTTGCAAGAAATTTTGGATCTGTTAACTCTCCTGTATGGAAAATTCTAACCTCAGTTGTGAGTAGGTGGAACAGGAAGCAACACCTCTTTCAATCATAAACACTTAAAGTACAAATGCCTTTTTACTATGGTTATAAGAGCTAGTATCATTTTGTAGTGATGAGTTTGATTCTGTCTTAAAAATAGCTACCACCAAACTCTCATACTCAACTAATTTTTCTTCTGTGAGTTTTACCAGCTGAGCCAGCATTTATTGCCCAACCCTAGCTGCCCAAAGAGGTCAAGTCAGAATTTTTGTTACTTAAAATGGAAGGTAGGAGCAATCACAGTATAACTGTTTTCATTCACTCTAATTTTCACTTTGTGTCTGATCAGTTCCACACCACCACCATTCCTAAATTTTATCACGCGCACTATCATCATAAGCATAATCACAGATTAGTACTGAAACCAACTTCCTCAAGAATAAATCCCTATTGAAGGCATAAGTTACAGTTCCAGATCTGACAAAAATTTCTCAACAATATCACAGCCTTAACACTCAACTGACGCTATGTTATGTCATAGAGAAATAATTGGTTGTTCTCTAACTTTATTGGAGGATTGAGATCACAATCGAGTTCAGGGCTAATGAAAAGGAAACTTGATGCTTCCAACCATTATTCAGGGAATCAAGGCTCAAAGGGCCTCCATGCACATCAACAAGGAAAGCACGGGGCTTAGTTCTGATTCCACAAGTGAAATAGCTAGCAAACAATAACATTCAAGCTCTACATAGTGGGAAAATACCAAATGACCTGTCTTAACTGTTGAATTACATCATAGAAAATTCAAAGGCATGAGGAGGAAAATAAAAATTAAGAAAAGAACTGAAGGATAGGCAAGTTTAGCACTCCATTTTTTTTCTTTCTTGCTATCACACATAATTAACAAATAACAATGGCTTTTGCATTTAGCAAATGTTGAGTCAACAGTGTGAAAATCTATAAATTAGAAATATGCAAGAATAAAATACCCTCCCAGACACAATCTGCAATTAAGAAAAAAATTCACATTGAGTACTGCTAAAGCTGGACAGTTGAAGCTGATTTTAGTTAATGACTAACGTTTTTCACAGAAGTTCAATTGTAATTGTTTGCAACGCTAGTAAATGGGAAGAGAACATCTTCAGGTATTAGAATTCACTGACGTTAATGGTATCATGAAAAAACATACCTTTTTGTCTGATCTCCATTGGAGAAAATGTTTTCGCTTCTTCACCACATTCTGCCAAAGCTCTAAGTTCAATAGGCAACCCATGACAATCCCAGCCTGGTACAAAGTGAACTCTGGAGCCTCTCATCACCTGAAACCTATTAATGATATCCTTCAATATCTGCAGGTAGGGAAATTAGAAAATAATGACAAGTCAAGGAATAACATTACTTCACTTACATAAATACATATTTTCCGTCTAAAAAATTACACCAGGCATAACACATTATCAACTCATAATTTGCAAAACTCTCACAGAAAACAACATAATTTAATACACATTTCCTTTGAGGGAAATTGCAAGAATAAATGTACATATTTATTGAGCACTGAGGGGAATATGACTTACTTTATTTAAGGCATGACCAACGTGAGGGTCACCATTTGCATAAGGTGGGCCATCGTGAACACAAAATTCCTTCCCTTTCCTGTTTCTTTGCCACGAATATAGGTCTGAAAACCCACATTCCTATGAAAACAACAAATGTCAAGATTTCAACGACTTGTAATTTCTTATCAATGTACTACACATATAAACTCAAAGTAAAGGCAACAAATGAGTAAGTGTTTATAAGAAAGATAAACATGAAGAATTCTCCATTCTTCATCACCTTGCACACAGTGAATGGCACACAGGAATAAATCAAGTGTGTTCATTGTGAGAAGTGATTCAAAAGGCATGGGGCAACTGTAGACCTACAGGCAGTCCCCCGGTTGCGAAAGGGTTCCGTTCTAAAGTCTGTTCACAAGTCAATTTGTATGCAAGTCGGTACACAATGCAGGACAATATAAAAGAGCCATTTGTAAAGTACAGGAAGTGTTCATGTCAGGTCATGAAAATTACACCCCTATGTGAGATCATATTTGTAAGTCGGCTTATTAATCAGGTGCACTCTGTAATTCAGTCCTAACTTTGTATTTCGATTACAGTTCCTATATCCATATTAATATTCGAAATTGAAAAAACTTTTTCACACTGGTTATGGTATGGAATGCACTGCCTGAGAATGAGTGGTCAAGCCACACTCAAATGCTCAATGGGAGGATTCACTAGGGAATTAGACTGTTATCTGAAAAAAGAACACGTACTGTTACAGGGAGAAGGAAGGAGAATGGCACCAGATGTCAGTGCAGACACTATAGGCCAAATAGCCTCCTTTGATGTTGTGTCAATTCTGTGATTCAGTGTCCACAGCTCTCACTGATACTTTCAAGCAACAGGCAACACGTACCAGCAGCAGGCATACTCTGGTACCTCACCTCAAGTGATGAGCTAAAATAAGTTCAGAGTCTGGCATAGCTAGGAATGACAGCCCTCTAAGAGAATGAAATGTCGACAGCTGGATGCTTCTAATGATCCTAGCTCTGAAGGGGGACACCAGGGAGATGTGTGATACAACAAGGGCACTGCCCTGATACAGTGGATGGGTAGGCTGATGCTTCTAAAACCAGTGAGACTTTACAGTACCATCTCAGTCATCAATGAAACCGAATTGACAAAGAGAATGAAACCATAAGAAATAGGACCAGAAGTTGGCTATTCAGCCCATCAAATTTGCTCTGCCATGCAATGAGGTCATGATAATCCCTCAACTCCACTTTCCTGAATTTTCCCATAACTCCTGGTTCCCTTACTGATTAAAAATCTCTCTCATTCTTGAATGTACTAAAGTATACAGCTTTGACGCTCCCCTGCACTAAAAAATTCCACAGACTCATTCCCACTGAGAGAAGAACCGCCTCATCTCCGCCTCAACTGTTGTGAGGGAGAAGGACTTGGATAAGAATCTGGTTTAGAACCAGCCCACAGTGGATAGATCAGTGACACATCCATCTCCCTTTCATCATGACACCTGAG